TACATAAATAAATAAGGATGTGGGCAACTCCAAGAACACTTCCTGGGGTGCTAGCTTACTGGTAACAGTGTTCAGGAAGGCTGTTCCTGAGGAAGTGACACTGAAGCAGAGAGCTTGAAGGATGTGTGAAATCCTTTTATAGATTTTAAACTAGGTAAAAACTATTGGGCAATGTTTGAGGCACAGGGAACAGCATGTGAGGAAACACCTGAACAAGAACAGGGAACCTAAGAGAATGTAAGGAAGAGGAGGGTGATGAAAACGAAGAGGCAGGAGGATGGGTCCTGGAGGGCTATGAGCAGTGGTGAGCATGTCACACTTCTCCCCAAAGGAAATGTGAAACCACGAAAGAGTTTTAGGCAGAAAGATGACCCAATTTGATTTAAGACTTAAAGATCACTTTTGTTGCTTGTGGATAGTGGAAGACAGCAGGGCCAATTGTGGTTTGAGGAGACAGGACCCAATAATGGATTGGAACAGGGAAGTAGAAGAGAAAGAGGAATCAAGTCAGACCCCTGAGTTTCTGGCTTGAGAAACCATTTACTGAGAAACAGAACACTGGAGAAAGAGAAGGAGAAGAAGAGAACCTTCCTCTTTGGGAGGAAGAGGGTGAATTCATTTGGACAAGTTTAAAGCTTGAGGTTTCTGCAAGATATTCAAGAGGAGGTGCCCAGCTAGCAGTTGTACTCATGGGTGGAGATTCCAGGAACGAAGTCTGAGCACATAGATGGGAAATTCCCCAACAAATAATTTTCATGGCACACTTGATCTTTTTATATTTTTTCACCTGCTTTTTGTCTCTCCGCAGTTGCAGAAATGAATCCTGCTACTGTAGTCAACAGATGGTTTCCTTTCTAATGCTGACCAACACTTAAAAAAAGTAAATGTTTTGCTTATTGACTTGAACTTCACCTTCAACCTGTAAACATCAAATTCCATCAAAGCAAACTCTGAGACTGCCAAGTTTTAATGAGTCTGTGAAAATTTTAGGGCTGATTCAATCCAGACTCCTTCATTATACAAATAGGAAATGGTGGTCATTATGGTTGTGAGTTTACAAGGTTCAATAGCTGGACAGTTGCAGAACTGGCGCTAGAATTCAGGACTCGAATACTTACTGAGCAGTCTTATTTCCACTACTTTTTACTGCTTCCTGTTCCTACTGAAGGGCTGCTGGCTTCAGTTTCTCTTACTAATAATTTGTGTCTTATGGGACATGAAATAGTGCCTACTCTGTTTGCTCCCAGCGCCCTGAGTGCTGGGAATGTGTTTTTAAAGAATATGTATTCTAAAGATAAGAAATAGCCAAAGGAAAATTTGAATTTTTTATGAAAGTACTATCTATCTATCTGTCTATCCAGCTACTTGGGAGGCTAAGGAGGGATGATCACCGGAGCCCTGGAGGTTGAGGCTGAAATGAGCCGAGATCAGGCCACTGCATTCCAGCCTGGGTGACAAAGTGAGACCCTGTCTCAAAAAAAAAGAAAGAAAAAGAAAAGAAAAATAATTTCCTCATGTTTTTGAATTCAGTAGTCACTATTGACTAATATAATACCCATCTTGGTGACATACTTTCTAGAAGTTTTTAAAGGTGGTTGGGTAGTACTAAATTAAGAGAGTCAGAAATCTATTAATGTCTTAGTAGAAATTTTATATCATCTTTAAATTCTTAAAAGTCTAATTAGATGTTATGTGAGACCTGACAATAAAGGACTAACCTTTCCTAATCAGAGCAAAGAGAAGCCTGTTTGTTGCTAACCTATTTTTGATGTATCTAATTAAAAATAAAAGGGAGGAGGAGGAAATAGAAATCATCATTCTCACTTTCAGCCACCCCAGATGCAAAAAACTCATATAGAGAGCATATGCAAGATTATAATGCAGTGACCAGAGCAGGGGCAAGGCCTTAACCTCAGTCCCCTTAGTTTCTGTTAAGTTGATGGTAGAAACCTCTCCTCCTTCTGTCACCAGGTTCTTCCCAGCTACCGCCTGTACTCACTCATTCGAGGTTCACATCCCCTTCATTTCTTTTCCTCTGGGAAATTTCTCCCAGCTATGAACCCTTCTGCTCAGGAGGCACTTATAGCTGACCAAGATAATGGTTTCCCTCATTTGCAAGTTTCTTTAAAATCCTGTTTCCTCTATGGAGCGTCAAGTGACAAATTGGCACTTGTTTTGTTACAACCCTTTTTCATATCACTTTCTAAAATTAGGTTTTTTGTGTGCCCTCCCTCCTCTATAGAACAAAAGCCTCACGAGGGCAGGGATCTTGCCAGTCTCATTCACAGCTATATTCCTACTACCCATGGCTGTGCCCAGTGTGAGGTATTGACAAGTGCTCAGGGAATCTTTGAATGAATCAGTGGGTGAAAATCTTTCCTATAAACTCCTCAAGGACAGGGACCATGCCTGTATTACCTACAGCTTATGGCTACACACACAGATTTTTGTTCAAGGACGGTATATAGCCTTCTAACAGCACTGCCTCGTGTTTCCTCTCCACTTTAGAACCTTCTGTTGTTTACACAGAAGCCACGCAGAACTTCCAGCGCTGTAAGTAATTTGGGCTGGTAGAAGACACTTTCCTTTTTGACAGAGACTTAAGCAAAGTGGTTCAGAGGTTTGGCTGTGGAAACAGATTGCATGATTCAAATCCAGACCCCTTTCCCCACTGACATGATAACGCTGGCAGTTACTTATCCTTTATGTGCCTCTGTTTCTTCACTGTATATTGAGATAAGCTATTGCTTTGTTTTGATGGGTTATGCTGAAAATTAAATAAGATGTATTAAGAACCATTTTAGGACATGTGTGCTCAAGGAATATGAGTAGGATAATGATGTGATGGTGGAGGTAGTATTTGGCTGATGTCATAGAATATTTTTATACTTTGTTATTTTCTAAGTATTTCATTTTATTAAATATTTTTCTTCATAATTGCTTTCTTGAAATGTAAGAGTTAAGTCTTCTAATAGAAATATTCTGGTCACTTAACAGTCACATTAAGTAATTTTTTTTAAAAAGAGGCTTAGTAAGTAACACAATTTGATTCCTTGCATTAGTTTTTTATAATTTTTTTTTCTTTTGAGACAGAGTCTCACTCTGTCACACAGGCTGGAGTGCCGTGGCATGATCTCAGCTCACTGCAACCTCTGACTCTCAGGTTCGAGCAGTTCTCCTGCTTCAGCTTCCTGAGTAGCTGGGATTACAGATGCCTGCCACCAAGCCCTGTGAAATTTTGTATTTTTTAGTAGACACAGGGTTTCACCATGTCGGCCAGGCTGGTCTCAACTCCTGATCTCAGATGATCCACCCACGTCGTTCTCCCAAAGTGCTGAGATTACAGGCATGAGCCACCATGCCTGGACAGTTTGTTTACCATTATTGTGCCAAGTTTATCCATGGGGATACTGAGTAAGTTTTTTCCCCCAGGGTCTATATACAATGAGCTGCCTCTGTTTGGAGACTTTTTATAATACTGCCCTTCATATTTGAGTCTTTCTCACATTTTCTAAAAGAAAATATTAATAAATTATTACTTACTATAAAATCAGAGTAAACTACCCAGCAAGGAAAATTTTTCCTTGAAACGTTGTTTTCTTGACATTTTTTTTTCTGAGACAGTCTTGCTCTGTCACCCAGGCTGGAGTGCAGTGGCACAATCTCCACTCATTCCAACCTTTGCCTTCTGGGTTCAAGCGATTTTCCTGCTTCAGCCTCCTGCGTAGCTGGGATTACATGCACCTGCCACCACGCCTGACTATTTTAGTAGAGATGGAGTTTCACCATGTTGGCCAGGCTGGTCTCAAACTCCTGACCTCAGGTGATCCACCTGCCTCAGCCTCCCAAAGTGCTAGGATTCCGGGCGTGAGCTACCACTCCCGGCCTTCTTGAATTTTTAAATATTATTTTACATGGAACCTAATTATGCTTCTGTGTGTCTTTTTTCTGTGTGAATCTGTGAACTCCAGATGCAAAGTTTCTGTCACAAAAAAATGAATTTTAGGTCAGCCTTAAGAATGGGAGTATGGAGAGAACAAAAAGAAAAATCTTCAATTATATTCCACACCCTTAATTAATGACTTACAGTAATCTTGACTCTGGGCGTAGAGGGAAACTACAAATAAAATTGAAATATAATCTGTGACCTAAATCTGTCTTTTTGGTTTTTGTTACTGCTAAAATATTAATAATAAAAATACTACTCAGTTTTCTAGTAGTCTAAAATTTGTTTTCATTTTCTCTGTAGTCTTCTGCTCTTCTATTTATATTTAAAAGACATCGTGGCCAAAAAATTTAAAAAGTACTTTGGGAAGGATCTTAAAGGAATAGACAGCATAAAAGCAGCAGACAAGGTGTCTGAGATTTTTCTTATTTGCTTTTTAATGGTGTGTGTGGATGATAGGGTTGTCCACGAAGGAACTTCTGTTCTGTATAAATGAGTTGTCCTATTTTCAGTCCATTGGAGCTCTCTGGCCTCCCCAAGTCCAAGAAGTTACAGGCATGGGCAGTTAGATTCTTTTGTTGGTGATGTCACTTAATTTTAATTCTCAACACACCCTTCCTTTCTTACAAAAAGTTTCACTGCAGGCTTGGTAGGATGAGTAATAAAGACTCTGTCTTGGATCATATGGATAACTCTGGCAAGTGACAGAAATAGAAGAGAGTTTTTTAAAAAAAACAAGGCACTTGGCTTAGAGTGGATATAGAATTGAATCAAAACCCTAAAGCAGATGCCATAAAACCGAAATTATTTTAATAAAAGAATAAAAGGAAAAAGAAACTTGTGTAGTCTACATAGCATATTTTGATGTTTTAATGGTCTGTCAGTGTTGTTTGTCATGATGAAGATCTTGGCTGCAGTCTATGACTTTACTGCGTTGGATGGTAACAGTGGTCGGTCTCTGGTATTAATATTTACAGCCTGATCTATTTGTGGTGTAGAGGTGAGGTGGTGACTTTCCAGAGCCTTTCACATATAATATCTTTCTTCTTTCTAGATTTTCACCTGATGGAAGACTAATTGTGTCATGTAGTGAGGATAAAACTATTAAAATTTGGGACACCACAAATAAGCAATGTGTTAATAACTTCTCAGATTTCATTGGGTAAGTACACTCTGTTTCTGTGGGTTACTTTGCTAAGGAGACATTTGATTATAACAATTTAAATAAAGAAATGGGGCCCGGGCATGGTGGTTTATGCTTGTAGTCACAGCACTTTGGGAGACTGAGGCGGGCAGATCACCAGGTCAGGAGATTGAGACCATCCTCACTAACATGGTGAAACCCTGTCTCTACTAAAAGTACAAAAAATTAGCTGGGTGTGGTGGCACACGCCTGTAGTCCTAGCTACTCTGGAGGCTGAGGCAGGAGAATCGCTTGAACCCAAGAGGCAGAGGTTGCAGTCAGCCGAGATTGTGCCACTGCACTCCAGCCTGGGTGACAGAGTGAGATTCTGTCTCAAAATAAAATAAAATAAAAAATTAATAAGTAATTGAGAGCAAAGAAATTAAAATATGGCCAGGAGTGGTGGCTTACTCCTGTAATCCCAGCACTTTGGAAGGCCAAGGTGGGCAGATCACCTGAAGTTAGGAGTTGGAGACCAACCTGGCCAACATGATGAAACAATGTCTCCACTAAAATGTCTCCACAAAAATTAGCTGAGCATGGTGGCGCACTCCTATAATCCCAACTACTCGGGAGGCTGTGGTGGGAGAATCACTTGAACCTGGGAGGTAGAGGTTGTGGTGAGCCAGTAACGCCACTTCACTCCAGCCTGGGGACAAGAGTGAGACTCTATCTCAAAAAAAAAAAAAAAGAAAAAAATTAAAATATTAGGTCATCTTATTCTTTCCTCCTAGATTTGCAAATTTTGTGGACTTTAACCCTAGTGGTACATGCATAGCTTCAGCAGGTTCTGATCAAACCGTGAAAGTCTGGGACATAAGAGTGAACAAATTACTACAGCATTATCAAGGTAACAGTTTTCCTAACAAAAAATTCAGTTACTGAATAAACTCCTCTGGGAAAGACTGATTCTCCTTGTTGGTATGGTTTGTCTCTCTTACTTGGGGTCATGGGCTGCCTTGGAACATGTTAGAGAATAGTATAATTAGCTCCCCTCAACAACAGGGCCTCAGAAGCTCAAGGAAAGCAGGAAGTGAAGAGACCTTAAAAATGTTGTGAGGGCTAAAAAAGAAAAAGAAGTTGCTTTAAGATTTTCAAACTCTGGTTATCAGCATTGTGTGAGAAGTCAGGAACAGAAATGACTCTGAATCCTGAATCACAGGAAGTTATGTGAGCACAAATAGGTATTATAATTGATAGAAAACAACTACCTGCTATGCCTATGTATTGAACTAAAAGAGAGGTGAATTTTCGGCCGGGCGCGGTGGCTCACGCCTGTAATCCCAGCACTTTGGGAGGCCGAGGCGGGAGGATCACGAGGTCAACAGATCGAGACCATCCTGGTCAACATGGTGAAACCCCGTCTCTACTAAAAATACAAAAAATCAGCTGGACATGGTGGCACATGGCTGTAATCCCAGCTACTCAGGAGGCTGAGGCAGGAGAATTGCCTGAACCCAGGAGGCGGAGGTTGCGGTGAGCCGAGAATGCGCCGAGCCGAGATTGCGCCATTGCACTCCAGCCTGGGTAACAAGAGTGAAATTCTGTCTCAAAAAAAAAAAAAAAAAGAGAGAGAGGTGAATTTTCTTGGTTTATATTTGATTTATATTAAATCCAAATTATCATTAAACATAGTAGCATATCCAGGGTTTACCATGTATCAGACACTGTGCCATATCTTCACAATATTCCTAAGAGGTATCATTATTATTCACATTTTAAAGATAAGGAAATTGAGATTTCAATAGGGTAAGTAACTTGCTCAAATAATCAGTAGAACTACTTAGGTCTTCCTGCTTACAAAGTGCATAGAAAAATTAACTTTTGATCATTGTGTTATACTGCCTCCTGTTGGAAGGATGCTGTCTGGAAACAAATTGTCAAGCATGATAGCAGGACTGTAAATTGTCAAGCATGATAGCAGGACTGTGCCCTTTTCAAACATATCTCCAGACTCTTCTTCCTTTAATCCCAAGCCACTAATTGGTTATTACCTTTAATTTGAAGCTAGGTTATATACCCTATCTGAGCTGGTAATAATTAACTGTCGGTTTTTGGCAATATATCCAAAGACTTTATAGTAATATGGTCAATAAGATTGCCTTTCCATGACACAGCCTCATTTTTAAAGTTATTCTGGCTCTCACTAGAAGCTTAATGCTGTATGATGCCAAAATAATCGTTTTAGTGAGCTATATAGAATTTTGTTGTTGTGGAAACAGTGCTCTTGTGTGCAACCTAATATTTCTAATAAGGAACTGGGGTGTCTTTAAAAGTAAGAATTTTTCTTTGAATTTTTTGCTTGTCTTTTCTACAAATCAGTTCACAGCAGTGGAGTTAATTGCATATCATTCCATCCTTCGGGTAACTATCTCATCACAGCTTCTTCAGATGGTACCCTTAAGATTCTGGACCTCTTAGAAGGAAGGCTCATCTATACACTTCAAGGACATACGGTATTAATACTCAGATTCTTGCTTTTATATATACAAATATAAAATAATATATGCTTTACATTTTTATCCATTTTATTATACCCCTTTATTATTTTTCCAGACATAGCTATACATTGCTGCTATCATAAACATTTTTTACTTCCATAGCTGTTTTTATCCTCTGGAAGCAACTCTTAGAAGTATTATTTGTTGTAATTCTTATCAAAATCAATGTATATCTTTCAATGGCCATTAAATGAATCCTCTATTGATGTCTTTATCAGTATGTTGTATAGATTTACTGGGTAAATGGTGATGGGTAAGTAGATTCCTTACTTCAAATCTTTCCTTCATGTGGGGATTACCACTTAGCTCTGACACCCAGCCTCTCACACCTCCCCCTCATTCTGGTAATTTGATTGGTGGGTTTAGAAAAAATTGGGTAAGCACAGCCTAACATCTTCTACTCTCCTGCCTTTGGGAGTGAGCCTGTCTTCACTGTTTTTCTCTGCTATTCCTTGTGGGGAGACCTGCCCTTGTCTAGTTTTGCCCGTGACCCATTCTGGGCATCAGTTTTAGAAAGCCTATTTGTGTTACACATAAAAGCCACGTTATCTTTTTACAAGCATTTATTAGACAGAAAGGTGATATTTCAGTTCTCATGTGCCTTACTTCTTTGTCTTATTTCTCAATTGGTTTAGAACCAAGTAGGTAAGAGGGGTGCCTTTTATTGAGCCTGTGCAAGGATACCTTCCCCAACATATAATGCATTATAGAAAAGTGTTTTAAATTTATTATTTATTTATTTTTGAGATGGAGTTTTACTCTGTCACCCAGGCTGGAGTGCAGTGGCATGATCTCAGCTCACTGTAACCTCTACCTCCTGGGTTCAAGCGATTCTTCTGTTTCAACTTCCTGTACAGGTGCATGCTACCACACCCAGCTAATTTTTTTTTTTTTTTTTTTTTTTAAGTAGAGACAGGGTTTCATCATGTTGGCCAGGCTTGTTTTGGACTCCTCACCTCATGTAATCAACCTGCCTCGGCCTCCCAAAGTGCTGAGATTACAGGTGTGAGCCACTGTGTGCAACTTAAATTTTCTTGAGTATATAAACTATTCCTTTCTTCCAGAAAATATTCAAACTTCTCTGAATTTTTTAGAATGCATCCTTTTTTTTTTAAGGTACTTCCTTTAACAAGTATAAGCTGTTTATATCTAGAAATAGAATGAGCTTTGCAGCCTAGAAGAGAAGAAGTTCTTTTTCACCGGTCCTGCCTGGTTTCCTGCTTTGCGTTATTATTTATTCTGCAGTGGTGTTAGGGTAAAGCGGAAATAAACACTAAGCAGCTTAAATATATGCATATCCATGGATTTAGGCTGAATAAACACAACAATAAAAGTGGTCAATGATTGAAATATCCATGAAAAAAGTACAAAATAATAGGGAAAAAAAGATAAACACAGTATTTCAGGAGGAAAATACTACATGAAGATGGAATTTTATTCTGGAAGTGAAGGTGTTTATGAAACTATTAATATTATAACCTGAATCTCTGGGATAGTCTACTTGGAAAGATACAAGATGTTTTTCCCTAAAACTTTTCTTATGTAGATTTAAAGACATATTAAAAACATACAGAATATATTAATATTTTTTTGAGACGGAGCCTCACTCTGTCACCCAGGCTGTAGTGCAATGGCGCAATCTGGGCTAACTAGAACCTCCGCCTCTCAGGTTCAAGCGATTTTCCTTCCTCAGCCTCCCGAGTAGCTGGGACTACAGGCATGCGCCATCACACCTGGCTAATTTTGTATTTTTAGTTGAAGTGGGGTTTCTCCATGTTGGTCAGGCTTGTCCCAAACTCCCAACCTCAGGTGAGCCACCCGCCTCAGCCTCCAAAAGTGCTGGGATTACAGGCGTAAGCCACCGTGCTCGGCCAGAATATATTATGTTTGAGATAAGAAATACTTATTCATACTGGACTGAAAAATTGACCTAGAGGCTATGCATCTTGTGACTGTACCAAGCGCAGTTTTGTCCAACTCCGCAGTAATTGCTCAATTTCAGGTTTTCATTACCTTCCACCTAGATAATCACAGTAACTTCCTAACTGGCCTCCAACCAAGCATCTTACTCCAATTCATCCTTCTCACAATTGTGATACTGATTTTCATCAGTCACAGCTCTCCTCTTATCTGTGTTCTGCTCTTTAAACTTTTAGTAGTTTATGGTTGCCTACATGAAGGGAGAACTCAGTGAAGCCCATTGGGCAGGAAATGGACTTTATGTAAATAGCCTCATTCCCATTACCTACATAGTTATCATTCAGTTTTTGCTACTGTTTGGTTGAATACACAGTCCAAAGCCAGAAAATCTTAACAGAAATTCTTATTAACTTACACATGTACAAGCTTTTCTTGAAAGGAGGAAAAGGTTATTTTTTAAATTAATTTTTAATACTTTTTAATATCATTTATTTGTGTTTTAATATGATTGGGTTGATTCTTTGATTATCTTTACTCTGTCAGCATTAGTTGCTAGCAACTGATGTGTTTTATCAGACTTACTGCATTAGTAGTATACATAACTTAGGATGAGAAATTGATATCCATAGTCCTCTTGGCCATGAAAAAGCATTACCGAGTACTTTTTTCTTTATCTCCCTTTATTTCTTAGGGGCCTGTCTTTACTGTTTCATTTTCAAAAGGTGGAGAGCTGTTCGCATCAGGAGGTGCAGACACACAGGTTTGTAAATCTTTCAGCTCCCTCTTTGATTTGGTTAAGGTAAAGGAATCCTTGACCTCAGCTAAGAGTTTTACAACCAGCTAGTTTGTATATGTTAAGGTGATTGTCAATGAGTTTATATTTTAATTAGTACCATAAAGTCTGCTACCTCGTAACTAAGACAGAACCAGTTCTAAGTTTTGGGAACTCAAATAGTTATTTTCTTTTTCTCACTTTACAATACATGTCCACTTTCAGAAAGTATATAGCACTTTTGCTTGAATCATTGCCTAATCTTAAGCTTCTTGAGGATGATAAATATAAATCATTTATATAGCAAATCTGCATTTATTTGAAATGACCAAAACTCATTCATGGCCAGATTTATTGAATGAAGTGAATGATCAAGGCAAAAACATGGTTTTGGGCTTTGACCAAAAAGAATTTTAAGATAAAGAGACAATTTCTTAATATGAATTTTAAACAGATATGAAGGCAATTCAAAATGCTAAATCTTTCCCCCCACCACACCTTAAAAAAAGATATCGAAAAATAGCAACATAGTTAAAATATGTTTCTAGCCTTTCTGTCTACTTTGGGTGACAATTCTATATATTGTGGTTTTTAAAATTAGCTCTATTACTTGTACACGCAAGTCAATAACTGCCCACATCATTGACTTTTTTAATAGGTCTTATTATGGAGGACTAACTTTGATGAATTGCACTGTAAAGGTCTTAATAAAAGAAATCTCAAAAGATTGCATTTTGATTCACCACCTCATCTTCTTGATGTCTACCCAAGAACACCACATCCCCATGAGGAAAAAGTTGAGACTGTTGAAGTGAGTATTTTGTGCTTATTTGTCCTACATTTTGTGTACATTTTGAGGCTTTCAGTCAGGGAGGTACTTGAAATTACTGAATTATATATAAAACCTAGTGCTGCCTTAAAACAGCAATAAACAGTCAGTTGTTTTTACTATCATGTGTAATAAAGTTTTATATTTGCTTCTTGAAGTCCCATAAAACTAAAAATTGGTGTTGATACTAATAGGAAATTAGAAATTAAATCTAAGTCCTTTGAACTAGCTTTATATTCTAGGTGTGTTTAGGGGGGTCATGTGATGGCTGTCATGAGAATAAGGCTGAAGGGCAAGAATTTTTATAATGGTTATTGAAATAAGTATCTTAAAACTCTTTTATAGCAAAACGAAAATCTTTTGGACAGGTAAAAAAAGAGATTTAGTGATTGAATCCAATAATTAAGACAATTTTATTGCCTGCATACATTTTGCATATATAATTATCTATTTAGCTGTAGGTTTTTGTTGACAAATCCCCTTAGGTCAGTGTTATGGATTTAAGTGTTCTTTTGTTTTCAAAGAGAGATTTACCTTTGCTAGCTGCTTAGCTGATGTTAGCCTATTCTTATTTTGCATGATTCTTCTTCAGCCATTTCTCTTCTAAGAGCTGATGTCAGAAATTACCTGTTCATCTGAATTTTTATCGTTGGCAGTCTCTTTGCTTTTAGAGTTAGATATTTTGAGTTCTTGAGATTTATTCCTGAGCGGCAACAGACAGTAGCCTTGTTCACTTTTCATGCTGTGATTCCATGTACCCTCACCCACATCACTTCTTTCATTTTGTTTTCCTTAGTCTTAGTCTTTTCTGTTGTCTCAGGCACTTCTGCTAGTCTCCAGTTGTGAATCTAAGTATATGTTTTTTTTCTTTTTCTTTTTAACAATTATCTAGATTTTGTTTAATCCAGCCATATCTTGGGATTCCTGTCTTTGCTTTTCCTTGTTAGTGTTGACTTTCAGTTCTTGGCTATAATCTTTGTCTTTTCCAGCTTCTGACAATCTTTTCAGTTCTTCTAAATTATTAATTTTGTGTTTTGCCACTTCTTTGCACTACTTACTGTATTATCATTTTTATTTCTTTAAGAGAAAAAAATATGATCTAATTTGGTTGTTACATTTTTTGCTTCTGTTTTTATATTTCTTATCCCCTGTGATAAAAATTCATATAAAATACATGTGAAATATATTTTAATTTAACTTGAGTATTTTTTTCTTGTACTATTCAAGTTGGTTTTATTGACTCTCAGTGTTTTTTATTTTGTCATTTTGTGGCTTGGCCAGGATTGTTTGAAAATACCCATTCGGCCACTTTCCAGAGTGTTGGAAGGCAGAACTGCAGGCTGAGCCTAAGACTTTTTTCTCCTTGAATTAGGTAATATTTCTATGACTCCACACTCACCTCAGCACAGAGGCTCAAGCCATTTACTCTTTGATTTACTGTCGGCCCCAGTCCATTTCAGAGTGCTAGGCTTTCTTTAAAATGTCAAGGAGTTGCCTGAGTGGCTCTGCTCTTAACACGGTACAGCCAAAAAGCCATAAAACCAGCTGGATTGTTTTGTGTTGCCAGGTCAGGATGACCCAGGCCATGCAAAGCCACTCTCAAACAATTTTTCACATATACCCTTAAAAATTCTATTAAACACTGACTTTTCTTCATCATAGAATTAGAGTTCAGTTGCACTATACAAAATGCTGAGCCTTGTGACTGATTTTTTGTGTGTGTGATCTTAAGGTAGTCAGCCTCTGTGTACACAGTTTAAATTTTCTGTGAGCATGCATGGTTGCTTAAGTGTAAAACGTGACTTGTTTTTGTAAAACACTTTGAGGCCTTGTGATATAAAATGCCAGAAGAGTGATAGGATTCTGCATATGAACAACCAATTGTTGTAATTGTTCCTTTTTTTCTTCCTTAAAAATCTCTTATAAAAAAGTCAAGTTTGCCGGGCGCGGTGGCTCAAGCCTGTAATCCCAGCACTTTGGGAGGCCAAGGCGGGTGGATCACGAGGTCAAGAGATCGAGACCATCCTGGTCAACATGGTGAAACCCCGTCTCTACTAAAAATACAAAAAATTAGCTGGGCATTGTGGTGCGTGCCTGTAATCCCAGCTACTCAGGAGGCTGAGGCAGGAGAATTGCCTGAACCCAGGAGGCGGAGGTTGCGGTGAGCCGAGATCGCGCCATTGCACTCCAGCCTGGGT